ACAATACAGACGAACTGAAGAACTGTTTAAGATACCAGGATAATGAATATATTCACCATCAGTTGTGTAAGATGAGTTACATTCTTTTATCGTTTCACAAGATGCAAAATCTGAAATAGAAATGAAAAATTGGAAAAAACTGGTTGATATAGTTGATTTTTGAATTAGCAACTGTTGAGAGATTGTCCTTGACTTGGCCCAAACGCGCCAAAAGGTGTGTAAAGTTGTATAAAACTAACAATTTTCAATGAATGTTTTTCTTTGTGATTTCCCCATAATTATGCTTGTTGCTTCCCTTTTATTTTATTATTTTTTTTTTAGTTGATTTTTAAATTGACCCAGAGGTTTATTGCATCAGACGCAAATGAAAACAGACCAAGCGTAAGGAGGTTTTTATTGATAGACACATTCGGCAATCCTCGACAGTTTCCGTAAATATGCACACTTCTTTAAATACATGGTATATAACGTTTCAACACAAGATACAAATGTCGTCATCAGATGAAATGGTGAAAGAATCTGATGACGATACGTGTAACTTGTGTTGAAACCGTATGCACCCATGTATTAAACAAGTGTGTTTTATCCCATAATTATCTGGTGTTATATAATATGTGCTCCTCGCTTCTAAATGTGGTTCAAATCTTATAGTTTCCGTCAATCTGAATCTGACTCTGTAATGAATATTACGATCTTAATATAGTCCTTAAATTTAGAGACTTGGGGAGATAATTCTGACACTTAGCTATAGATTTAACGCTATATTGTCACTATTGGTTATTTTATTATACATTTTGGATCTGTATCTGACGAATGTTTGTTTTTATTGACTTTGTTTACAACACTTGAAGTCATGAACGACCAGTCTCTAATATTTGAATTTCCAGAATTACGTGAAAACTTGACAATATTGACATGGCCATTCATTACCGTGATATGTTGCAGAGCTCTAGCGTAACCATTAACCATTCAGGTCAAAGACAACACAAAATATGAAATATTTAATATCATATAAAAAATGATTTACAATTTAAAGCTTTACGGCATAAGGCATCGCTTATCTATTTATATGTTGTTTTAAATTGTACTCTTGAGATCTGTGTTTTTTAATTGTTAATTAATATGTGAATGCCAATTTCCGGTTGAATGCACTAAGTAATGTGCACGTGAATATGAATACACTTAGTTGCGTTTTAAAGGGATTGTAAAGATTTTTTATAAAAATTTTCAGTGCATCGTGGACATTGATAGCAATTATTTGCGTTATTCCAATTCTCAATCGAACGTCTGTAATTCCTGCAAGATAATTATGCTTTATCACATAGGGCCCTTCGTGATTGGTGACGTCATGAAACACTTTTGGAACTGCAAATTGAAGAATTTGATGCTACAATGTCCCCGAAACAAATAACAATTTTAGAAACATATTTACAATTTCTTTAAACCGATTTCGTCTGCAGCCATCCACATTCTTTTTTCTAGAATAACTTTTTGTTCTGGGTTTGTATGCAATCATTCAGAACTAACGAATCAAGTTCAAATCACTACGCCTGACAAAATCGTTCGATTTTTTAAAAAAAAGGTTATTAATATTAATACCTACATGATTGGTTGGATTTATACAAAGTTTATATTTTTAAAGAAAAGGACAATATTTATGTATAAAATCTGAATAAGGCAAATGATAGCTCATTCTGTAAGAAAGACGATTTTCCACCCAGGTTTCTTAGCCGGGACGTATCTGTAAATTAACCAAACAATATTGTGGTTTTTCAAGTTATTTAAAATGTTGAAAATATTCTTTCGTTGCAATTGTTGAAAAGAAATTATGCAGCTACTTTCATTTTACTGAGTTTGCGTCGAAACATCACGCAAGAGAACTACGCAGCCAACTAAGGTAAGACACGTACGCTTCGAATGGCCAGACCTTCTTCTAGAGAAATTGCTGATAAACTTTCATTAAGTTTGTAATTGATGAAGTGTTAATAGTATACTTACCCTTGCATGGTGTTTCCGTCCAGTCTGAATCACCAATACATCGTGTTTCGCCTATTTGACGATGAACGTAATATTGACCACATTTATATCTTGCTGTATAATTACCAGGGGATTCAATGACTTCTAATAATTGATGACCTTTTGGGACTGGAGGAGGTCCACAAGCAGGACCTAGATGATATAAAACAGGACTTACGGAACCAAGATTTAATTATTTCTAATAGTTGGTGACCATTTGCTTTTAAGCAGCACCTCTTAAACGGCGCTCAACTATAAGTTTGTGATCTGTTCTGGTAACTGATAATAGTTTCGTAAAGCCACTCTGACATTTGCACGTTTTTCGTCCTGGCATTGCCGCGCTATTGCTCGTGCTATTTCCATGCTTTGCAGTTGGGAACATTGGAGTTTGCGACCTGTTAGCATACTATACACAGCATACGCAATGTGTACATAAACTCAAACGCAACCCCAATAAAAAAAAAATCAGAGCTAAATCTATCAAAATCCTTAGCAAATCCAATTTTCTGCTTACATGTGTCCTCAAACTCAACACCTCCATAAGCGTAACGGATGACTCCGTTAGCCTGTTTTACTATTTGAGTATACATTTAGGCATCCTTAACACAGTTACAAGTTATCCTACGCAGAATGTTACAACCACCTGTTCATTTTAAATCTCCCTGCAATCATTTATGAACAGTGGAACAGCGTCAGATCACCATCTGAATTAAGAAGCGATGTTAAAAGTGTCTACCAATAGTGCTTTCTTTTCCTTGTCATAGAGGTAATATGCTATGGACAAAGTTTTAACAATATCCAAAATTTGACTTTTATGTTTGATAAACATGTTTTCAGTCATTTACAGTCGAGTTCTTGACGTAAATCCACCTTCTTCAGATATATAAATACCAACCCCCATCATCTATCAGAAAATAACTCTTTAGAACTGTAGAGTTTTTGTGTTAGGAATTATGTGCCTTGTTACAACTTACCCGTGTTGAAAGCTACAACTTGCCCGGGTCTCCCCTAATGACGAAATTATCAAGTTCACTTACCGTCTTCAACAAAATATTCAAATCCAGGATGCGGAACCATTAATTCTATCCAATGTATTTTATTAGGATAAATCATACAGGTTTTATTAACATTGTTATAAAAATAAGATTTCTTCCCTTGACTAAATGCTAAATGATTACATTCTAGTCGAGTTTGAGTTGTTGTAGACTGAGATACAGAAGGTAACGTCATATTACTAATATAGAGTACAAACATCACCTCAAAACACATTTTAACAATGAGAATTGACAGACCCTATTTATAATTCCGAAATCACAAAAAGCAAACCTCCTTCACAATTTTGTTGAATCGTGTAGGCTATAGGAAACCTTTATCATTACTTAAAATAACTGAAATACTGCATTCTTCTGTACCGGTTAATTAAAATATGTTCAGAACGACAATATTCCTAGAACTATTAACATTTATGCTGCCTTCAGTTCCATAGATTTCAATATACTACAGGACGTTTTATTTGGCTTGAATTTCTTAAAGAAAATAGATAATTTGTAATGGACATCATCTCACAAAGGAATTATCAACGTCAGGCAATAATTAATAAATAATTAAGATAGCCTACCATTTCACAGTTCAGTGGCCAAAACTGTCATAAGTAAGAGTTAAACCAGAATGTATTAGGAAACCAGTCAATCGACAATCGGCGGTTTCCGTAACGCTGAGTCTGTATGCAAGGCTCTAGCGGAACTTTCCTAGTAGACCGTTTGCAACGGGATGATAAATATTGAATTATGTTGTGTGATATTCACACAAGGTTGCACTTGTTAACGTTGCACTATTAAATGTTGACATTTTGTTTTGTAAATATAAACACGTGAACGAGACTTTTTAATGATAAATGAGTACGTTTAGGAAAGGTCGTTTTACGTGGTTGAAATTATCCGCACCATACAGATAAATATGTCTGAAGTTTAAACCTGTCTATCGTATTAACAACGCATTTATTTGATATAAAGTACATTAATGAATACTTCATTTAATAATTTATTTGATTATCTATAGTTCATTATACAAGTCTCTATGGGCGCGTCATTTGTTACTTTGATATTGGGTATGATTAACCTTCGTTCTTTAAGATCTTAAAGGCCGGTTTATACTCCGCTAAGCGAAGCAGCGAAGCGCATATTTTTTCTTCTCTCGAGCGTAGCAGGCTTTAAAGCTCAGCTATGAAGCGAAGTTTCACCTTCGCAAGTCCATTTTCAAGATAGGCGAAGGAGCAGGATGTGGTCTTACTGCTTTGCTTCATTTTGGTCTTTGCAATCAAGCAGAGACAGACGAAACAAACTAGCGTTGACAGATTTGTCTTGATATAGCGAAGCTAAGCGATAGCAAATTAAAGCTTCGCTTCTTTGCTAAATTTTTAATGACAATACACCAAGCTTAGTTTTTTCTTTGGTTATCCATCTTGGTTCCTAAGTTACAAGTTATAAGATCACTTGACAATTGGAAATTGAAAAGGAGTATAAAGTACAACTAACTCTTTTATGTTGCTTAGCACAAAACGGTGCTTCGTGGGATCAGTTAGGTCAGAGGACTGAATTTTTTAATTTAATGGAACATCACTAAGATAAGATTTCTTTTTAAAATTAAAGGAATTGTAAAGAGTTCTTTTTTTTTTAAATTATGTATATCGGGGACGCTGATATCATCAATTTGCATATTCCAATTTTCAATTAGACGTCTGTCTTTCCTGCAATTCCACTAAAACAAAATGTTAGATCTTAGCTATTAGTGACGTCACAAAACGCTACGACTGAACCTTGTTGAGCTTTGCGATCCCACAATTGAAAACGGGACCTACATGACACGCTTTGATTGGTTTATATATAACGTCATTAAAGCCGTAGAAAACTTGTTAGATTACAATGAAGACATAGAAATAACGAATTAGTTATTTAATCAGATTGAGAGTAAGTATAAGCATTTTAGTAACAGAACAGAACAGAACAGAAATGCGAAGATGGCCAATTTCAGCCACCATAAATATGTATGATTAATAAAATATTGTATAAATCGTGTGACAGATCTACTGATTTTATTATGAATGGGGTGATTTTTTTAAGTGTTTACGAATAATTATGATTCACACCGCAGGGATCTGACGCATAAATTATGGAATGAAGCATCATGAATAAAGAAAATTCCTGTGGAATGTACAGGTGAATTGTTATTGTTGATTAGCATCTTGACACACAATACAACAGCATGAAACTGTGGAAGCCATTAGTGGCTATAATTTTCTTCTCTCCACTCATGAGAGAAGGCATGCAGATTTAATGTGAAACGTTGGGGAAAATAATTCTCGAATTCTCGCTCTATTTTCCTTGTGTTCTGGTCCTTTTCTTGCCAGCTCGGTTTATCTTCCAGCCTTAGCCAAGAGTTTGCGATTCAAGAAAATGGTACTTGGCCGTTACCAGCCTCCATATTGAAGTTCTATACTTTTATTTTTCTTCACTCTTCCTATCTGATCTACATACCTATCAATAAGAGAATTGTTCCTTTGTGGTCAGAGAATAGGGTGTCAAGAAATACTACAAGCTAGGCTGATTTCTATCAATGAATGGACGTCAATCAAAATCAAATTAAAAATGTATGATTTTCAGATAAAAGTGAAAGGGAAAGGGATTGTAAAGAGGTTTAGCCTATGTAAAGATAAAGAAGTCATGTTCCAAGTTGTTTTATTATCATTATTATTGTCGATGATAAGACCACATGAAAAGGGAACTCATTGGTTTTCCAATTCGATCAGTTTATATATTATGTTACCATTTCAGGTAGTAAACATGCTAATCATTTCTTTTCATTTTCGGTTTGGTAACATGATAACTGGTTACTGGTAGATTTAATTCTATAAACCAAGTAAATTACATTGTGGGTCTATTGTACCAGTGGGAATCGCTGAAAAATAGAGAAAACATGACTTAACATAAGATAAGAACAACCACCCAAATGGATAAAAGACTCTCTTCAACACTTCCGAATCACGTGATTTTCAAATTGACCAATCAACACGCTTCCACATATTGCTTGGTTTTTAATTAAGAACACACGCACAAAGCTCATGTAAATTTATATATAGATAATGGTGAAAAAATTTTGACTGTTTTTTTTTTTTTACAAGCATATGCTCTTATTCTTACGTTAATGTTAAAAAAAAATAAAAATAGATTTCCTAATGATTAATGTACAGTACATTTAGAAAATTGTGTTGATTGTTAAAGTAACCATGTCAGATGGAGTTAGTATAGATCTAGATGGATCAGATGGATGTAGTATGTATCAAATCATAGCGTAAAAAGGTAATTAATTTTCATAACAGTAAAAATTGTAAATGCCGTATTATAAAATCAATTTTGATGCTTATTTTTATTTTTATTTGTAGTCTTTTATGTGTATTATGAGGACATCTTTGATTTCTTTGTAAGACATTCCAGATTATTCCAATGCCTGTGGTTGCTGAAATTCCAGAATGGAAATGACACAGGTCCCGCAAAAAATTCGTAACCAACATACCACCAGACAACAATAACGTGATATATTCCTACCCTTACAAAATGGCGGAATTTCTAACTAAAAACTCCTTCACATTTTGCTTCATCGTTGCCTTATAAAACTCTTTACTAGTCTAGTAGTAGAAATATTACTGGACTAACTTGATTTACTAAATGTTGGCCTCACTGTATTCAAAACCGGCCATTTTATCATAAAAAAGGGATATTTAGAGCTCTGATTTGCACAAATATCTCTTAAAAATAAGCAATATAAAACGTTGTAAAGAGTTTTATAAGGCAACTGTAAGCAAAATGTGAATGAGTCGCCAATTTTTAGTTACATGTGCAGTCATCTTATAAGGGGAGATAATATTATATTATTATGCTATTGTGGTCTGGTGGTAGGTTGGCTACGAATTTTTTTGTGGCAGCTGCGTCATTTCCGGTTAACTCTTTCTGGAATTACAGGAACCACAGGCATCGGAATGGTATGTCCCAAATAGAAGTCACAGGGGTGTCCGATACACATGAAAAGGCAAGTTAACATCTTTACAACCCCTTAAAACATTGACTTACTGTACTGTGGGTTTTTAACAAATTGTAACAATCCATCAGTTGGTTTTGCACCACCACAACCACCATCACCTCTCAATTGAACCACCAAATTAGTTCTACTTACTGTAAAATGTGGTAACCATCCTTCTCCTGTCCATGTTGTCTGTAAATGTATGAACTAGTATCACTGAATTTTGTAAATAGATGATTTGATTGGATTGTGTGAAAGCGAATATAACCAATCATGGCCCTCGATTACACAGGCTGAACTAATGCTAGCAGTTTCTGTCGAGGTCTGTGATTGACTATATACAATCATGTTTATAAACTTCTGTTATACAAGAAAAGTGCCTAATAATGTCAAGGTATTAAACAGGGTTTGTTATACATTGATATTGTGAACATGATCGTCGGTGTCCCAAGATCGTCGTAATGTAGCGATTGATCCTAATTCTTTAGATGCCACCAGTATCATCTTCTGTAAGTCACATGGTCTACCCGAGTTCGCCTTAATGATGGCTTTGCTTATTTTTCTTGGTCAAATCATGCTTATTGTTTGATTAATTAATGTTTCTAATGAATGAAATAACGTTACGCAGAAAAGCTTGGGGTTCAAAGTGACTGAAGCTCGATCGAAAAAGCTAAAAATAGATGTCTTGTTTGGGCCTAGTCACTGACAGATCGTGATAATCTTGCCACATTTTCATATGAAAAATTATCAGTCAAATCGTGTTTAAAAGATGTATTTGTAAGTTAGAATTAATGTAATTGAATACATTGTGTAGTTAGAATTTAAAATACATCGCCCTTTTCCCTATTTTGGAAACATAACCATTGAAATTTAAATTTGTGGGCCCGTATTTGGCTGTCCTGGCATTTTTCGGCTGTGAAAAGACATATAAGAAAGATTCTCAGGTCTCACTCTTTTCAATATATATATATATATATATATATATATATATATTGAAAAGTGTGATTATCAGGTCTCACTCTTTTCAATATATATACTGAAAAGTATTGAATATTGAAAAGTGTGAGACCTGATAATCTTTCTTAAGTGACCATCGGTCATTGGAATTCGTAAAAAATTTGCTAACCATGATTTACTTATTGACTTTTGAGACAAACTGGTATTATATCTAGTTATTAAAACACCTTTCGATTTAT